TGTGCTTTTAAGCACACACATAGAAAATGGTCAGTAAATTTTTCGATCATTTATACCATATGATGTATATATATATATATATGTATATATATATACATATATTCATATGTTTTTATTGGAAAATATAGGCCTAATATAAAGAAAATTTTATTATTCAGAAATCACACAATGCTAACTAAACACAACAACCCCTCAGTGAGAAATTATAAAAACTTTGATATCCTTTCATTTTATTCCTATCTGTAAGAGAGACCATTTATAGTATTTTTCTTTATGTTTGTTACTCATGGTATATCAATTATTTGTAACAAAAAAAAAGGACAGTGCATTTCATTAATTAATAATTTTGTTCGAAACAAAAATCCTATCTTTCACCAGATTTCCACTGCTCTGTTGTACCTCATAAAAAAGCTAAAATAATGAAAATAAATATCCAACCTATGGTTATATATAAAGCCAAATATTACCAGTCTCTAATATATATATATATATAATGAATAAATGTTCTGGAATATAAAAATATGGTAATCAAATTAGAAAAAACTTACGAGCACAAAATAAAATATTGGTTAGCTTAAAAAAATATCTATTCCCATTATGATTGTCAAGTCCATTGATACAGAATTAGCTACTATTTCATGATAAATATATTTAGAAATCTGAGAAAAAATATACATGCGATAGATTACCCCCAAAAAATTATAATACGTTTCTTTTATATATATATATAAGAATATATATATATTGTGTAGATTATTTTTTTTCTTTCCAACGTCAGTGATGCCTGGGTAAATTATAAATTCATCCCTTTAAGTGTAGTTGTGTGCTTAAGTAGGCTAACAGATCTGTTTTTTTCAACGTTGTATATTTGTCCACCCTATTAGATTTTAGGTGTACATCAAATTAATAAAGCAATTTAGAGTTTACTTTGAGAGACTTCCTTCTTGGGCTTCGCTTTATCCATATTTTCCTGCGCGGCGGCGTGCGCAGCGGCCACGATTGCCACGGGCACACGGAACGGTGAGCATGACACGTAGTTTAGGCCAATCTTATGGCAGAATTTGACCGTCTGCGGGTCTCCACCATGCTCGCCGCAGATCCCCAACTTGAGGTTCGGCTTTGCCTGGCGTCCCTTTTCGACAGCAATCCGCACAAGCAGACCCACTCCGTCCTGATCAAGGGATTCGAAGGGATCGCGGGGGTAGATGTCAAGCGCGATATAGCGCCTCAAGAAGGATGCCGCGTCGTCACGTGAGAACCCAGAGCCCATCTGCGTGAGGTCGTTCGTGCCGAAAGAGAAGAAGTCGGCCTCTTGGGCAATCTGATCAGCGGTAACGGCTGCGCGGGGCACCTCGATCATGGTACCGATTTTGTAGTCCACGCGCATCTTGACATCCTTCATGACCTTCTCGGCGGTCAAGATTGCATTCTTTCGTGTGTAAGAGAGCTCTTCCTTCTTGCCAACAAGGGGAATCATAATTTCAGGGTGAACGTTCACACCTTCTTTTTTGACCTCCAAAGCGGCCTCAATGATGGACCGGACTTGCATGTTGTAGATCTCCGGATACACAATACCGAGGCGGCATCCGCGTAGACCCAACATTGGGTTCACCTCGTGCAGGCTCTTTGTACGCTGCTCGATCTTTTCGACCGGGACGCCAAGCTCTTTGGCTAGGGCTTCCTGTGCAGAAGCCTTATTGGGTAGGAACTCATGCAGAGGAGGGTCTAGCAGGCGGATCGTCACGGGCTTGTCTTTCATTGTACGGAAAAGACCCGCAAAGTCTTCTCTCTGCATCGGCATCAGTTTTGCCAAAGCAACCTCACGGTCCTCTAGCTTGTCTGCCAGAATCATTTGTCGGAATGCGCTGATGCGCCTCTTATCGAAGAACATGTGCTCAGTGCGGCACAGACCTACACCATCGGCACCAAAACCATGGGCGGTTAGGGCGTCGTTTGGGGTATCCGCGTTAGCGTGCACACCCATGCGTTTGATCTCTTTGCACCACTTCAGAAGTACCTTGATGTTGCCCTCCAGTCTGACCGACTTCAGTTTCAAGGCGCCCTTGTATACGAGACCGCGGCTGCCGTCCAGTGTGATGACATCACCCTCCTTGATCACAACCCCGTGGAGCGTGAACTTCTTACCTTTGATTTGCATGTCACCGCAGCCACACACGCAGCACTTGCCCATGCCGCGTGCGACAACAGCCGCGTGCGAGGTCATGCCACCGCGCGCGGTTAAAATACCCTCCGCGGCGTGCATTCCAGCCAAGTCCTCAGGTGATGTCTCTAGACGCACCATGATGACCTTCTTTCCATTGCTGGCCCAAACCTTGGCATCCTGAGCGTTGAAGACCACCTGACCCACCGCCGCCCCAGGACTGGCGGCAAGACCCTTACCAAGAGGCTTGGCTGAGGCCACGGAGGAGGGGTCTATCGCGGGGTGCAGTAAATGACTCACCTGCTCGGGATCCACGCGCAGCACCGCTTCCTCCTTGGTGATCATGCCATCATTGTGCATGTCAATGGCGATCTTTAGTGCGGCGTGGATCGTGCGTTTGCCAACGCGGCACTGTAGCATCCACAGGCGACCATCCTCGACCGTGAACTCAATATCTTGCATATCGCGATAGTGCTTCTCCAACTTCTCACGGATTTCACAGAGCATATGGTAGTTTCCAGGCATAGACTCTTCCATCGACGGGTAGCGGCGAAGTCGCTCCTCCTCATTGATGCCGTACTCCTTGGCCCACTTCAGCGAGAGCCCCTTACTGATCTGCTGAGGTGTACGAATCCCAGCCACGACGTCTTCGCCCTGCGCGTTGATGAGATACTCACCGTAGAAGTAATTCTGCCCAGTTGACGGACTCCGTGAGAAGGCCACTCCCGTGGCGGACTTGTCGTTGATATTACCAAACACCATAGCCTGAACATTCACAGCGGTGCCGATGAGTCCGGTGATGTGGTTCATCCGGCGGTATATCTCCGCGCGGGGGTTGGTCCAGCTCCGGAAGACGGCGCAGATGGAGGAGTGCAGCTGCTCCCACGGGTCCTGTGGGAAGGGCTGGCCCGTTTTCTTCTGGAACAGGACGAGGTACTGCTTGGAGAGCTGCTCGAGGTCGGAGGCGGTGAGGTCGCTGTCGAATTTGGTGTGACGCTGTTGCTTCATTGCGCCCAGCTCCTTTTCAAAATCCTCGCGCCCGACCTGCATTACGATGTCGGCGTACATCGTAATGAAACGACGATAGGAGTCATAGACAAAGCGGGCCATGTTTGGTGAGCGCGCCACCCATGCATTGACGGTCTCCGTGTTGAGACCAAGGTTCAGCACGGTGTCCATCATCCCCGGCATTGACGCCGCGGCGCCAGAACGAACAGAAAACAACAGAGGATTATCAATACTGCCGAATACCTTGTTCATCTCCTTCTCAACCCTCTTGACCATGTTCTTCACCATCTCCGTCACTTCGACAGGGACCTTCTTTTCAACCTGGTAAGCCGCACAGACTTCGGTGGTGATGGTGAAGCCCGGTGGGACAGGCAGGCCAAGGTTTACCATTTCAGCGAGATTGGCACCTTTGCCTCCGAGAAGCATCTTCATATCCCGTGTACCATCAGACTTACCGCCTCCAAAGTAATACACTTGTTTTTTTCCTTGCATTGTTGTTAACTCTTAATGCAAGATTTATTATCCAATTTTAAAAAATAATGATAGTTTTTAGTCAATAGATAATTTTGAAATAGCTAAAAAAATCTTATAGAAAAATAAAGGAAGACGAGGAAGGAAGAGTGTGCATACCCAAGGGCAGTCCAAGGCACATGTACATGATATTATTAATAAGTGTATTGAAAGGAAAACAGTCGTATTTATTTCTTTAATGCAATCATTTTCATATAACTTTTGCTCGATACCTTTCTTATTCATTCTTCTTTGATTTGAAGTAAAGAAGTAATTTGGTGTAGGATAAATCAACTCTTCCTAACTAAACACCGAGCAAGCTGTGCAAAAAGAAAAAGAGCAAAAAAAAACGGATAATTTGCTATTTACTTTCTTATATCTTAGGTGAAACTAAATAGAATATTACGACGGTGCACACGTATTTTTTCTTGGAATAAATATTTTGCATGGCTTCTTTGTTAGTTAGTCTAGTGGATTTAGACTTACTTACGTATAGGCACATATGGTACTTTTGATATATTCTCCCCAAAAAGCCGCAACCGGTGCGTAGCTGCAGCGAACTGTAAGAAGCACCAGCTTATTTTGATAAACGGTCACATCCACAAGAAGTCGCTCTCGCCCAATCGTTTCTGCGTGAAGAAAAAATACGGTCATCCCCGATGGAGTCCAATCCCTGCGGTGGACTAAATTAATTCCATACATTCGCAACGCGTTCGTGGTGAATCGGCTTTCCGCGCATCCCCCACACACGATCGAGGACGGGATACGCCAGGTCGGTTCGGGAATCTCCCGCAACCACCGCAGGAAATCCCCGACATCACAGCCGGTGGCGGGACGCAGCAACATCACGGGGGGAATCGGGGGCGCCAGAACGTAGCGAACTCCCACTGGCCGAATGTCCAGAGCGACCTCGAGGTCCCGCGTCGGCCGCCGTTCGTTATTACAGGAGACAATCAGCCCGAATTCTCGGGGTTTCTCCTCGGCCTCGAGGCTCATCGGGGGGAAGACCTGCTGTACTCCGAGACTAAAGAGGTTGCGGTTAATTTGGAGGTCAGTGAGCCGCGCGCGTCGGACGAAGTCACCGCCGCGGTGCAACCCCACACGGCAATTCAACACAAGCTTCATTCCTCGTTGGGACCAACGCAACGCGACTTCGACTCCACCCCCAGCAGTGGCGGGCAAAACTACCTGGTACTCCATTCCCCCCGCCGCTGCGATGGTAGAAGGAAACCCTTCAGGATCTATCAAACGACTACATAAATTCGTGGCGAGAGTAGGTTCAGGTTGGGGTAAACCGTCTGTAGGGGGGGAGGAAAGAATGCTGTTACATCTATTGCGGCTATTATCCACTGCTGTTGGGGTGCTATCCTTGGCTGTGTTGGGGCCGTTCCTTTTTTGTTCGTCATCGTTAATGGTGCAATTGAAGCGGTAGCCTTCCGCGGAGGAATTCACCGCCGCTTCGTGAAAGCTCGTCTCGGAGTCCTTGCTATTGCAATCGTCGTCGTTGTTGTCGTCGAGGTTACTATTGGAAAAGAAAAAAAAAGAGGGGTTCACCTCACTCGCACCATCGATGGACTTCCCAAGTGCATGTTGGATAGGTTGTTGTATCACCGATCGAAGGGATCCAAGATCGTCGAATATATATTTCTGAGTTTTGCGCTCATAAGGGGAACTAGACATCTGCAGCGTCACGTTCTGCACTTCGGAAAGAATTTGCCGTGCCATGACAATATCGGTAGCAAGCATCCTCTGATAGTAAAAAGCACGATCCCGCAGGTCAGGCTGTTGGCATTCTGCACATTGTGCTAAGACAACATCAAGAAATTCTAGTACATTTTCCGAAGTCTTCGCACTTTCACTGCACACCCGTATCTTTACAAGTGTAGTAAGCACCACAAGCTGAACCTTAAGGTGCTCATTCATAAAATTATCAACAAAAATCTTAAGATAATCCATGGCTTGCGGTACGTGATCCGCGTATGCGCCAATGATCCACGCTACTGCTGCGCGTGCGTCCTCGTCGTTTAAAAGGCTTAATGACTCATACACAATAAGAATGATCCCACCAAAACGACCAGGATACTGTCGCAGCACGTTTTGTACCACCACTACGGCATTCTCAAGAATGTGGGGATTTTTAGATTGGATAAGATCCTCGAGTTTTCTAACACACTCCATCGTGAGCGTTGGAATAGTTATGGCCAGTAATCCAATCGACTGTACGCTCTTAGAGGAGAACTCAACATCTATATCTCTAGCATATACCACCAGCTTAGACAGCACACGCGCGCCGTTGGTCTCATTGGCTAACCTAACCAATACATCAAGCTTAGCGAGTTTAATATAAACAGGATCATCATTCTGAACAAAGAAGATCCCAAGATGAGTCTCAAAAAAGTGCATAAAACGTGTTGAAAGAAACAGTTGAATATTTTTCAGTACCAGGTACCGAAGCTCATAACGAGAGGTATAAACTAAAGAAACTAATGCATTTGAAATTGGCGTGACGAAACGCCTATCAAGAGCCTCGCGCTGATCAGTCGACAATTGTACATCTCGGTCTGTTGTGACTCTCAGAAATAGCATTACCACCTTCACAGCAGCCATAACTATAGCACTATTAGAGATATAAAGGTACGGTAAAATTCGCATTATAAGTTCCTCACCCATTTGCACCAATGAATCATGTGCCGCGGTATCAGACGGGTGACTGGCATCCGAGGATAGCATGATTGAAGGCGCACATCGAAAGGAGGTTGCAATTCCGTTCAGAATATAGTATGTTGGCCACTCAGTTGCCTCATCCAGCATTGTTAGCAAATGCGGGCCCGCATCAAAGATCGCCCTCAACAAGTCACCAGAAGCCTTCCTGCTGTATAACTCTAAAATGACCTGCACAGCCATTCCGCACACCATGGGGTTGGGGTCGTGAAGTAAATTTTTGAGGGCATTAATCAACTCATAGTTAAAAGATGTCAAGTGTGTGATGTTATAGTTCTTTAGCACACCCATTGCAGCGATGCTTCGGACATAGGGATCGGAATCACTCAAGCACCGGAGTAGTGGTGCCGTCGCAGCGTCTGCCATGATAGATATCTGTAAACTTGACATGGTGCGCAGTGCGGCACCGCGAATGAGGGGCGAGTTATGCAATGTGTCTTTAGTTAGGGATCCAACATACAGCACAGACTTTTCTGGATTCGTCCGACAATTTTGGACAAAGTAAAGGTACACTAAACGCTTTATGCTGAGATTTTTCGAGGAGATTAACAGCATAACTTCATTAAAAAAACGAGATACATCGTTTCCAATTGTCATATTGGCTATTATCTGCTGAAGAGCGGCAAGCTGTCGGGGCTCATTGTTGTTTTTCAAATCTTCACAAGTGGGATTTGTATCTAGACCACGGTTAAAAAACGCAGCTCCAGTAATATACTTTGTCATGCTTTTTTTTTTACCTTTCATTTAAACTGTATTATCAATTAGATCCTTTGCTTTCCTACAATGTATACCTTTCTACCGTTTATAAAATAATATTTTTTTACCGCTACTTTTGTGAATAATAATATATGGAAAGTTTCTTCTTTTCCTCTCTTTGCTTAAAAAGCTATGTGATTGAAAGTTCACAGCGTTAATTCAAAAAGAAAGAGTTTAGGCATTTAAAGAAGGAAAAAATAAAAGGGAAACCAACACGAAAATCTAGGTGGGAAAACCATAAGTTCAAAAGACTTTATATGCCCACGTTGTAAAGGTTCTCTCTCCCCTCCCCTCTAATAGTTGCAGGACGAAAAAAAGGACCTGAGGTAGGAAGATTAATTAAAACATCCCGGATACACGCAGCGACTGTCGAATAATAACTTCCTTCCACCTACACGGTGTACTTTAAGCATCGAGTCGCGTCGTGCGAGACATGGCATTTGATTGAACAAAAAAGTGCATATCGGCATCGGGCGCAGCGGTACGCCGCTGGGAGTAGGCATACGCTGCACAAATGATGTGTATGGCAGCCCGTAACCTTCTTCACCCGCCCCCTCGACGCAGAGGACGACGGACTCAAGGGAGAAGGAGAAGTCATGGCGATATAGCTGGGACAGCTTGTCAAGAAACGTAACAGAGATGGAGCCAAGAAGTGCTGCTGTTCGTACTCACTTTTGACTTTGCGTGTCTTGTCCTCCTTTAATCCCATTCCGTGGATTTTAGACTTCTTAGCGTGTTGGCCGTCTCTTTTGCGTGTGTCGGTGATGTTGTCATCCGTTGTGTCGTGCTCCTCCTCACTGTTGTCATCACTATCCTCAAACCTAGCCATTTCAGAATACCACGCACGCAAAAGTTGCATTTCGTCCGAAATCTTTGTATCCACGTCCTCGGCCTTCATTGGGCACCAACAACGGGCCTCGCCTTGCTTAAGGTGCCACCGTTGTGGTTGTCCCTTTGTTGGTGTATCATAAAGGGGTGCCTGTTGTCGTTTCTTCATATTTATTTTTTTACCCGCCCTCGTGCGCTTACCTTGACGTAAACTCATCACCTTGGCTTCGTCCTCAAGCGTTTCGCTCGTTTTTGGGCCGTGTGTTTCTTCTATGCTGCGAGAATCATCATTGTCGTAGCTCTCATCGATGCAGGTCCCTTCCTTTTCCGTTGCCTCCTTCTGGGCCTGTGCTAAGACCTCCAAGTAATGCTTGTGTTGTTGATTAAAACACTGAGTTAAATTCAGACGTTCATTGGCCCCAAACTCACCTCCCCTGAGGCGATCCACACGTAAGGCCCCTGAAGCACCATCTGCTGTGGCGTTAAAGGACCCTGATCCACCTGTGGACTCAGTTTCAAAGAAATGCCTTTCAAAGTCCATTGCCATCTCATCTCTATTGCGATGAGAAACTTTCTTAGTACCACCATTGAGTCCTTTATCGGAGCCGTTAGCCATGGAAGCGGAGGCTATAGCTGAGGAAGGGGAAAGAACCGCCTTAACGTTAACAAACGCATTATCGTCTGTAAGCTGCTCAAGCCGATGTTCCTGAGTTTGCCGTGCAAAATTACCCCAAGAAAACATTAGGTTCAAGATGGTAAACGCCTTTTATATTTCTCTTTCTAATATGGATTAAAAAACATGCTTTGCTTCGTTAGGGTAATAAATAAGAACAGAGGAGACTGAGGAAAAGATTTATCACCAATGGGTGTCATTTTTGCATTTTCGTTATCAGTATCTCTATTATCACACAAGAAGATAGAGATGGAAAAATTTGGTTATATCTATCATTGAGGTTAATAAGAAAAATAGTAAAAACTGCGGTCTGAGTGAAACTATGTATCAGTTTAATGTTGGTTGCTGCTGCTTATCGGTTACCCTTGGCCACACGCTCCACCTCATCCTTCTTCTTGATGGCATACGAGTTTGAGCTACCCTTCGAAGCGTTCACAATCTCATCAGCGAGGCACTCAGGGAGGGTCTTGAGGTTGCGGAAGGCTGCATTGCGGGCACCTTTACACATCTGGTAGATGGCCTCGTCCACGCGACGCATCGGCGACACGTCCACAGCCTGGCGACGCACCACACCACCGGAGCCCACACGGGTCGAATCCTCACGCGGAGCACCCTTCGATACGGCATCAACCACGACACGAATGGGA